GCAGTGTTGGGGGCAGCCGGGGGGGGGCGTGGCACTTCTTTGGAAATGCAAATTAAAGGTACTTTTTTTCTTGTGTGTACATATAAATTATATATAAAACTCACTTTCTATAATAACGGCTGAGTCCTGTCTGTGTCCTGTCCCCAGGGCTGCTGCCGCACTGCTTGTGGGTTCCCCAGGCCTGGCCGGGCGGTTAGCTGCCACAGAGCCTCTGAATTCCCTCCCTGTGCATTGAGGGCCTGGTTGGTGGGTGGGGAAATGGGCTGATTGCACATGTCCAGCATGGCTGGGCTCCCTGAGCCAGGGCCGCCCCTGTTGCAGGGCTGGGGTGGCTCTGAGCCGGGGTTTCCAGGTGTGTTGGGCACTGACTGCTCAGGAACCAAGGCCCAGGGCAAGGCCCAGGGCAGCCAGAAAGAAGCAAAGGCTGTTGGTGTTTGAGTGCTCTTGCCCCAGGACTCGGGTATGTGTGGAGGGGGCTGTGGCAGGCCTGTGGGTATGGATAGCGGCTCTGTCTGCTGTGTTCCCCTGCCAGAACCTTGCTGGATGGGGTCCCCTTCTTCCCCACCGGCACCCCTTAGCACCTGCTGCGCCAAGCAGGCCTGGGAGGGGTATATGTCTGGGGGTCCCCAAGAGGCAGGTTTGTTTGTGGGGGAACAGGGTTGCTGAGGACAAGGAGCACGGGACAGCAAGGCGGGGGGCAGAACTGCTCCTGCTTTGGGGCCCAGTGTTAATTGCTGCAGAAGAAGCTGGGACTCCAGCCCTGGCCTGGAGCCGAGCAGCAGGTGTGAAGGGGAAGCACCCGCTCCCACCTCTTCAGCGACAGAGCGCCCCGGGGTGACGCTCAGTGGGGCTGAACTGGTCGCCTCTGACCCGTTCCCCCTGGGGAGCGTGGGCGCCCAGAGGGCTGCTGGTGCCAGCCTGACTGGCAGTGGCAGAACCCAGAAGAGGTGTGGGGCTCAGCTGAAAAGCTCAGGGCACTGCTCCCCCCGGTGGCCATGCCCAGTGTGCCTGGCCGTCCCCCACACTTGGACATTCCTGCATCCCATCCCTGCCCGAGCCGCCTGCACACTCCCCTGCCCTCCCTGCACGTGCACATGCTAGGGGAGGGGAAATCGCTCTGTGCAAGGGAGCCTGGTGAGGCCTCGGGGATGGGGTGGGGAGAGAGCCCCAGAGCGCCTCTGCCTATCCTAGCCCGTACAGCTTCGCAGCCTGGTCCCCAGGCTCCTGCCACCCAGGCCCCATCTGCTGAGCCCCTCCCTGGTCCTGTGGGGTCTGCTCTCTTCCATCCTCCCCGGGAGGAAGGGGGGGCTTGTTCTGGGTGGTTTGGTTTGTGTCCATACTGCTCTGTGTGCGGTAAAGAACAGGCCAGGCACAGGGAGGGGTGGGACGGTCCCTAGTTCTTGGGAAGTTTATCCCTGTCTGGGACCAGCCAAGGGTGCGTGCTGGCTCCCACCCAGCTGGGGCTGGCCATGTGGTGGGCAGCTCCCTCGTGCCCGGGAAGCAGGGCGCTCTCCCACAGCTGGCACACGGGGCTGAGACGCCTGGGGGACCCAGTGCAGACGTTCTCCAAACTGGGGTCAGCACGAGGAATAGAACTCAGGCACTTTGCCCTTCTTGGCCAAGGTGGGGGCAAACTCCACAAGTGCTGGAAGAAAACGGTTTGGCCCTGGGGCCTGGGTTCCTTGGCAGGGCTTGTGCTTGGTGCCCTCCTAAGGTTCAACCCACCAGCCCCACTGCCTCCCCCAGCATGGTCCTTCTACCCCTCGCCCAGGCAGAAGGAGCAGACCCAGCACCTGGCTCCCCCCTCCCTGAAATCACCAGCCTGGGCTCAGTTGCTCGATTGTTTTATTGCCCTGGAGCCCACCAGGCCCCAGCGCTGGGGCTTCTCCGTGGGCAGCGGGGCCCACCAGGATGCTCAGAACAGGCTGAAATGGGGGTTGCTCAGGCCCATGCTGTCCACGAACCTAGGGCATGGAAAGGTGCCGTCAGATGCCTACCCCTGGCCCAGCTAGAGCCCAGGCCTGAGGAGGCAGCTGGGGCTGTGTGGGATGGATGTGCCCCAGTGCTGTGGGCAGCGTGGAAGGCCTCAGGGCAGGGACGGGGGTCCCCTCTGTGGGCGTGCCCAGCGCCTTGCTCCAGTGCCTGCTTCGAGGTCCTTATGGTCAGGCAGGGGCCGCAGCATCAGGGCCTTTGGTGAGCACGGCTGGGCTCCAAGGGTCATTGTGGCCAGAAGCTACCCCAGCCAGGGCAGTCCCTCTCCCCTCTGCCCTGGGGAGAAACCTGCCCCCATCCAAACTCTGGTCCTGCGAAGTGGGGGGAAGGGCTGCCCAGCCCCACTTCTCAGCTGGCAACTGCTGATGCAGGGCCCCCCGCCCTGACGGGCTGAGCCTGGGCTCCATTTCCAGAGCCCCTGGAGCTCTGCAGCACCAGCCCCCCCAGGGAGCCACTGCTGGGAATGTGGCTGGAAAAGGCTCTGAGAGAGCCAGCTCCCACCCCCATCAGCCCTCAAAGCCACTCTGCCCCTT